CTACCCAAAGGCCCATTAACACATCTTGTTACTGCCCTTAGCAGCAGCAGCACCCATCCTCAGCAGACCTTTCTTCAACTCAGAAATTTATTGTATTTTTCCCTGTTCGCTATGATAATTATAAACAGAGAGGCTAAAGAGCACTGAAGCTAGTCTGTCTAATAAGACTCAGCTATTTCAGTTATGCAAGAATCACTGGAGGAAAAAAAAAAAAAAAGCCTCACTAGTAAACCTCACTAGTAAATATTAACATGCTCTTTCAATCGGACCCTGTAATACCACAAAAATTCTCCCACTAATTACCCTGCTATATTATGAAAAATTTTAGAAATAGGTGTTTCGCAACTTATGAGAAGCAAATTCTCTTAAGAAAGGAATATCTTCATTTAAAGTAAACATCTTACAATGAGTTTAGAGGTTCCTAAATGTATGTTCATTATTGCTTCTTCCTTTAGCATGCATTCTTTCAGCTTATCAAATACTTCTAATGAAGAGCCAGAGTGGTTATTAGAGATATGTACATTTCATTAAATATATTTTAAAATAAGAATTGATAATTATAAAATTCTAAATCAGAGTTTCTGAGGAAAAATCAACAAACTAACAAACAAACAAAGGGAAAAAAACAAAGCATAAAAATATTTTCATCACCTGTCTGGTGTGACTAGTGTCACTAATCTATGGCTTACCTGTGTCAATGAAGCAATAAGAACTGTAACTATAAAGCCTTCAAAAAACCCCAATCAAACAAAAAACCCAAAGCATACAAACAAACAAACAAAGACCTTTGTACTCTGATCATTTTACAGGCCTGACTGTGATATTATTTTTATAAGTGTATTTTCTTTTATGTTACGGAAGTATAGCTAAATTTACACTGTAGTAATTCAAAACAGAGCAGGGACTACATGCCTATAGACACAGCTCTCTATGTACTGTGGTGTGATTTTGTTCATCTAAGCACAAGCACAAAGTGCTTTAATAGCATGGTAGTTCACTGGAAAAATAAAGCCTTCTGAAACACTTTGCCTGTCAGTCACCTACTGGCTGTTCATTACACTTTATTCTCCCTGAGCCAGACATCAGACAAGACACTGACTTTTCTAACAGTCCTCTTGAGTAAGATAAATTGACACATCTATTTAGTACACAAAGGGCAAATCCTGGAGAAAAACTCCTTTTCCTCTTGCTGTGCTGCACAGAATTTTTAATGCAAATCCATCTGAGATATATTTGTTTTCCCAAAATAAGAGGGGGATTTTTAGCTCCTTTGCTTGAGGTTTATTTATTTTAATTAAAATAAAAATGAAAGCTGCGTGGCTTGCAGCTTTTCAGAAGTCCTTTGCTGCCCTCATGTGTTTCACAGGAAAAGTAATCCCTGAAATCTACATACAAAATGACACAGCTTCTCCAATCAAGACAACTTCTCCTTTTATGAACAGGGCATAGTCCATGAATACAATAACTGAAAAATATCTAAAAATTTATCTCATTGTTCTATGAAAGCTAAGTTTGAAATTTAATGATTATATATTAAAAATAAGAAAATATATTCAGCTTGAGATAATCATAATTCCCAAGCAATAAATTTCAAGGCCAGCAGGCCAGTTTAGTAATAGTTGATCATGTTAACCTGGTGGAAAAGGTGAAAGGTTTAATGAAAAGCATGCTTTGAAATAAAACATAGTTTTGGCATTTTTCTGCTGCTTACAGTAACTGACAAAGTAACTCCATTCCTGTTCCATTATACTATACCATAGAGAATAAAATCATGCCACTGTTGCATTAAGGCTTCTGTTACTTTCATAATCAATACATCCAAAGCTACGGTGACCATATCAAGCTTTCTTTTGACACTCCTGCCAGCCACTATCCTACACTTCTCCCAAGGGTCTCGCTGCTCAGTTACAGTCTGATGGATTTGGTCTCAAAATTTGGCTGCTGAGGTTCAGACCGTCCTTAAAAAGGTTTCACAATACAGTTCTTATGTTACTGTTTTCAACCTATCCAGTACCTATCCTGATCCCAAACCTCATTGTGCCAATATTGAGTTTGTAATAAATTGTAACAACATCTCCTATGCCAGTCCTTGGTTTACAAGGATAAACCCATAATAGAATAATTCATAAAATCTGCTTTGTTAACAAGCTCTTTCATGCTCTGGCTATAAGACACAAATAGTCCTCCCTGTACCAAAACAGGCAGCAATTCAGACAATCCCCCAACAGCCATTCCATGGGAAGGGGGAAGGCAAAGGCAGAGCTGGATCACAATCCCCACAGGTTTGTTCAACCCGGGACACAAGCTCCAAAGGTAGAATCAAATCATAAACTTTTATTTATATTGTCAAGAGGTTCCTGAGCTGGCATGACTGTTTTATCGTTAATCTACTGGCCACCATGTGAGTGGTGTTAAATGTTAAATTCTCTCTTCGCTACAAAAATAAGTAGAACTCCAGGTACAAAGCAGAATAATGATTTTATTTTTCTTTTCCTCATAAATAGAAGGTACCTGCATTGTAAGTGTTCTGCAACTAAACACAAGTTCTCCTTTATCAATGGAGTAAACTGAAAGGAACTGTTGTCATCTCATCACTCAAGTGCCGGGTTTTGTTCTCCCTTCCCCTCACAGAAAACAACTCTGGTACTGTAATCCTACCACAGAAAGGTGAGGGGTTTGTTTTTGGAGGGTTTGTTTGTTTGTTTTGTTTGTAAAACTGCTGTTTAGTTGCTCATTTTAAAGGAAAATAGAAAATGCAGCATAGTTATTTAAATACTTCTCCAGTCACCATTGGGGAGATACCAGACATCAGTCAAGGACTCAAATTGCCTCAAACCCTCTCAAACAGGAGTTACCATCCCAGAAATGAATTAGAAACTTAAGATATATGGATCTCCTGTGTTTTCATACAGTATAACTTCTCTTTCACAACCAATGCTACATGCTGAAAAAAAATGAAAGAACACATACTGGCACAATTCTACACCTCACACTTTACAAATTCCAACCAAACTTTGCTGATACACAAGACAGGGAAAGCAGCAAAAATTTGCACTCTGACTCTTAAAATTCCACCCTGAGAAAAGCCTTATGTTTCCCAAGCACAGCACTGCCAGGTCAGCTACTGGCACCACAGGGAGGGCACCTGTGCATTCACGTTTTGTTTACAAGTTGATGCAGGGTGGAAGAGCAAGAGAGAGAGATGAAACATAAAGCACATTTAAACATACAAACACCCTACTTATACTGTGTAAAAATACCCGGTGATGAAAATCAAGAGAGGACCATGTTAACTCATACTGGCCTAATCTGCTTGCTCAAGTACCAGCACGACTCATCTCCAAGGAAAGCACTATAAGCATACACAGGCTATTCCTCATGTTTTCTTTTAGCATAACCTGATTCACATCCGAAAACCAGATGCTGGGGGCACTGGCTGTGTAGCTCTTCTCTCCCCACCCGTACCTTCCTTTCCTGTGTTTCTGACGTCCCGGAGAGGGGACACCTTCCCCTTCTAACTGGCAGCCCAGTTCGCAGGTACCTACTAATTTTCAGCGAAGGGTCTGCATGAACTTTTAACCAGCAGCTGACTGAACGCTCAGCACGCCTCGTCTGCAGCCCTGCGCGTCTCCCCCACGGCAAAACAGGGCTAGAAACACAAGCTCTCGAAGTTCCCCTTAAGCCCGGGCCGTGTTGGCGGCACACGGTGATATCCCCGCCGTGTGGGGCGGGCACTATCCACGCCCCGCCTCGTCCCTCCCCGCCGGGCGGTGCAGCCGCGGCGGGGGGCGGTACCCGCGCTGGCCCGGGAGCGGGGCGCAGCCTCCGGGCACCGGCCGGGAGGAAGGGAGGTTTCACCCCCTTTTCCCCCACGGAAACCCACGGGCCTCAGGCCCCGCAGGGTGGCGGAGCGCCCGCCGGGTCGCTCTCCGCCATGACATGGCGGTGGGTGGGAGTGCTGGCGCTCCTCTGCTGCCAGCTGCGGGCGGGCAATGCCGCCCTCCAGGCGCCTGCAGCTACCCGGCCCGGGGAGGAGGGCGGCGGCGGCGGCGGCGGTCGTGGCCGCCCTCCGTGGGACGGAGGCGGGCGGGAGCAAGAGGCAGCGGCGGCGGCGGCCCTCCGGGTAGGTGTCCCAGCCCGCGCTTCCACTCGCCGTCCGCGCTGCGCTGCGGGACCGCCGCGGGGCTCCGCCGGAGGAGCAGGGCCGGCGAGTGCCGCTCAGCCGCTACTGGCCGGGAGGCGGAGGAAGGCGGACCGGCGGGTTCCTCAGCCCGCAGTGCCGGAACCCTCCTCCCGCCGGCCTTCGGTGCTTTCCGCAGATCCGCCAGGTCTCACCAGATCGCTGGCACTGGGGCCGCTGCCCTTCTCGCCTTCCCCGTGTCCGACAGCAGGTGCGAGCCCCGGGCCGGGCCGTGTCCGGGTGCCAGAGGGTGTCACCCCTCCGGCTGCGCGGAGCTTGCTGCCAGAGCTGTTTTCCCAGGGATGTGGGGCGACCGGGAGAAGGGGGAAAAGGCTGTCAGGCCCTTCCTAATGTAGTGCCACCCTTTTGCCCATCGTTCCGGGAGGGTGCCGGTCTCACGGGCCAGGGAGTGGTCACCGGGACTGAGGTCCCAGCCCCATCTGACTCCCGCCCCAGGGGTGGTAGTGACGGCCAGTGTGGTGGGACCGAAGGTGATGCTGCCCGGGATGCAATAGCAGACCACTATTGCCATTGAGGGAGTGCGATGAAGTCTTCATGGAAAACGCAGAAGATGGCATGAAGTTTTGCATATT